TTGGATAAAACAAACAACATTCTGGATATTCAGCATGAAAACTGAAAAAACGAGTAACACTAATTAATTAAGTTTGTTAATAAAATCTTAGCTCAATCGAGCAAATTTTGTTAACGTGAGGTATTGTGTGGTCTTGGCTCATCTTCATCTCTTTTAGTGTGAAATTTAGCCATTCCCGGGAAATGAGGTTCTTGGGTTAAGAATGCTTTACATATGAGGCGATCCAATGGCCCCATATAAGAGCTCAACATGAATGAGTTTTGGAATACAGAAAGCACAATAACTATCTAAGAAAAGCCGAACAACGTTGTTTCTTTATTTTTGTTCCAACTATAATGAATTAATGAAAACACAAATAACGTTGTTTTCACCATGAGAAACGTTTTTGTATCTTCCTACGCATTAACGTAGCTATTTGAAATTTTGTTGATATTTGATGATGAGTGAAGAACCCCACGGGCACGACTCTTACTCCTTACCTTCCATTTTTGTTTTTATTCTTGCTTTATAATCCATGATCCAATTTTTTATATATTTTAATGCCACTTATATTAATCGAAACCCATATTACATAATACGCAGATATAGCTACATGAAATAAATACAACAAGAGGCATAACTAGTTAGCAAAAAAAAAACAAAAAAAGGCATAAAAGAACTATAATCCTGGAAAAATGTAAACTGAGTCATGAGGATTGTTATCGTCAAAGCAGATTTCGTTATGGCTTTGACGGGTCAAGACGGCAACGGATTGTGTTCTGGATATCAAAAATAAGAGTTGATGGCGGTTGATATATTCTGGTTTTTATGGTTTTTTATATGGTGTTTATTATTCTATCTAATGGTTTTTTATGCGATTTTATGTCTTAAGTGGTAGTTTTAGTGTGTTTGTAGTGTTTAGAATCTTTTACAGGTTAATTGAGCAAAAAAGATGAGAAAAGAGATATTGGACAGTTCTGAAGCGTCATATGTCAAGCAATCTTTGGAGGTTTTAAATTCATTGGATTGATCTGAAATTAGTACACGATATATAACATTGAGTCAGCTTGCATCCAAAAGAAGATTGAAGTCATTTGGATCAACGGTCCGAAAGTTATACTAATTCTCGTGAAGACCTGTCATTCTGGCTAAACCGACGAAAATAAAAGAAATTTTCAGTGTTTTCTAATTTGACTTGGTTTTGCCAGAGATTTTGACCTTCACGATTTTAGACCTATAAATACATGTTTTTAGCCACTTTAGAAAAAAAAAACCCTTGTAATTATTTATCTCTTTTGTTTCTAAGTTTTTGGGAGAAGATCTATAATCCCTATTGACAATTTGGAGAAGATTTTTGAACTCTCTTGTTTATTTATTGATTGCATATTTTCTTGCATGGATTCTTCTTTTGATTTGATTTCTATCATGC